GTCTAAAAATGTCAAAAATGACATTTATTATTCTATCGGCATCATTTCATTTCATCCAAGATGATAAACCAATATTTTGAACAACGCAGTGCGGAATAGTGGCAAGGAATACGAGCTAAAGCCAAAAACTCAAATTTTGTGACTTTTTGAGGTTTTGTCGATTTTCGGTAACCAGTTGGACTTTGAATTTCCTCAAATGCATTGCTTTAAAGGTGCCACGGGATTCCATTTGTTGTCATTTTGAGAAAACGCGGTACTGTTTGTTTGATTGAAATTTTTTTATACAAATTTTGGAGTACTGTATTGAAATAACGATTCTACAAGATGTTTGAAATCCATTCCTTAGTATTCGCTTAAAAACAGCCAACATTTATAGCGATTTCTCAGATTTTTTCAAGCATCTCTAGGAAAACCAATATTTTCGAGGTAATTTGAGGTGTTTGTTTCGTGTGCATGTACGACTACATACCATCTAATAGACAATTTCTATATAGCTTCAAAATGATAGTAGAAGGTCCAAACAATAACACCAAGTGTTCAGTTTTAGGTTCCCTGATAGATTTATCACACAAAAACTGATTCGATTTGCAAGTGGCATTTGATTTTTTCCCAATCAAATAGAATAACTGGAGGTTGGCTCGTTTCAAGTGCTATAATTTCTGACTCAGTGGACGGATTTGGTTTAAATTTCGCCAGTAGTCCTTTGAAGGATGACACTTTCAAAAATAGAAAGGATTTTGTTCTAGTGTCGCCCTCTATATGTCAGACCGGGGACTAATTGACAGACCGGGTAATACAGACGACTTTTGGTTAGATAGCAAATTGTACTCATGCAATTTTAAATAAAAAGAAAAACGGCCAATATTTTCAATACGATATTTGTATGTATAAAACAAAAAAAACCAGCTATGTCACATATATTATAACGTACGATTTTGAAATCTATGGCCATAAAGTAAATAGTGATAAAACAAATCGGTACAATTTAATTAAGTTTAAGGGTATCATATCACTGATATGACAACTGATTTTTTTTCATCATCAATTGATGATGAATCAACAGGTGAATAACGGCACACAAGTACTAGAGCAATTGAACCTACCTGAAAACATTCTTTCTGTTCGTTTGCCCGCCTTGCACATGGCACACGTCAGAAATATTACTATCACAATAACAATAATCCAAAAAATATCCATTTTTAATTGGAAATGACGAAAACGAGATATTGTTCGGGCAATATAGTCTATATCTTCACAGTCGAGTCCACAATCACAATATTCAGATGATGTATACAAAAATGACAGCCTTTCAATTTCACTTTGTTTGTTTATTTTTTTGTTAGTATCAATTTTAAACAAAACATTTTTTAGTTGCAAAATAAACAATTTTAAATACAGTTCACACAGAGAGTCTCATGCAAAGATCCGGCAGAACGATTGATAACTTTTCCAAGACAGAATAAAATCACATCATCTTCATTCTGAAAATTCACAATTTTTTTTTTATAGATATTGTTTTTGTGTATGTGATTTCTTTTTTCTCTGTGCAGATCGATAAACTATGACTCAATCAAACTCACTTAGTTTTGACATTGAATTATGTATGCACAAATGATTGTTCATGTATTTTAGACCACTGTCAAACAACTATATGCTGACATTAATATCGAGAATGGATGCGTTTACTTCTTTTGGAATCGTTTGCTTCTCTTCAATGTTTTTTGCACTATATTTGAATTATGCACAATTTCCTAATTCCATTTCTAGAATCATTGACTTTTACTAGTTCAATTGCATAGAAAATAAATGTATAATATGTAATATTATGTATTATTTCAGTCATTGTTTCTTGTGTGCTCGAAGAAAACTCTTCTATATACAGATTTAGTTGAAATTGAAACTGAAAAACGCCTTTCTCAAGTACTCACGTGAATCTATCGCAAAATCAATTAATGAAAAACAAATGAGATGATTAATAAATTATGAGTGTTCGTTATTTGAAATCCTGTTATTTGAAAATATGTTTTATTGTTTAAAAAATCTTGTGTATTAGTCCAAATTATAGGATTTTTATGATTTTTGTGAATGACATCAATAGTTTTTTGAGAAAAATTAACAGACCAACATGAATATTATATTATGGAGAACTGAAAATAACAACGGAAATTTATGTTTTTTTATTCATTTCAATTGAGATATGCTTCCTCATGATAAAACGTTGACAATTGTGTTTTTCTAAGATTAATGTGGAATGTGTAATCAAAAAAAAAATTATTTCACATATGTCATTCTTTTTTTTGTCAATTATTCCATAGTCGTTCCATATCAACCATTTTAATTGTTAAGTAGTATTAATACGGACCAGCGATTTTGTTTTATTAAAGGAATCATGAAAGAAAAGAAAAACATTTCAAATAAGATTGGTTTATATGTGTGCTTATCCGCATGATTCGCAGATAAAGTACACTTGTAAAAGTTGTTCTAAAATCCACAGCAAGACAGATAATGCTGTTGATTTTGTTTTTTTTTGCTTGGACAAATAAAATCTCTGAATTTTGAAGACGTTATGAATAGATTGAATCATCAGATTGAGGAAAAGTAAAAGTGGGAGTATATTTTTTTGTACGCCTGCCCCATTGCAGTTTACGATCTACTTTTAATGGTCATCTCAATTTCGATCGATACGAAATCAGTAATTAATCGTAAATTTTTAATGTCAGTCATATTATGGTATTTATATTTTAAATGAATGCCAATGAAGATAATACAGAGCTCAAGGAACATTAATGATTTTTTCTTGTTTGCATGAAACATACAGTAGAAATCGACTTTGAAACACGTTGAAAAGTTTGATACATAAAAAAACTGGAGACCGCAAGGAAGCTCATCATATTCGTTAGCTATTAGTTTTGATCCCTTGATATGCAATCAATTTTTGGAATGAATGCACGTACTTGATGGCCGAAAGACGTTTCTCCGGAAGCCGTAATCTTCTTCTTTTCTTCTTCTACATCAGCATCATCAACTACAGTTCCAAACGACGATTCGTATTTTTGCTGTAAACGTGAGCAAACACGGCAGTACAGCAGCAACTAATACTACAAATAACGTAATACAGCTATCGTCTTGTCACTATCATCCATTTTTGCACAAACAACAAACTTTTTGGTACATAACAGAAAACTTCGCTTGAATTTCTCAGGTGACACAAAGTAAAGTGCCGTGTCCTGTGAGAGAAAGTAAGCTTGACAAGTATTTCTTGTGTACTTGTATGCTGTCGCCAATAGCGTTCAACGAAACAGCTGCATTTATCGCTATCAAAACCTGACTTTTTCCTTCTTCCTTTCTTTACACCTCTACTTTTTCTATCTCGCCCTCTCTGTCGCATACACATACTGTCTTTCTCTCGATATCGTTTCTTTCTAACTGCAATTATGCACGTTGCACATATGTCCACTTGACGCAAAGTTGAATTGGGAGAGGGAAAAAAACAGAAGCTGACAGCACTTTTCTTGATATAAAAGCGCAAAGGTGCAACAGTATGATTGATGTTTCAACTTCCGCTTCGTAACTTACTTCAAAGGAGAAGCAATCACAACATTTATAATGTGTGTTTGTTTTTTTTAATCTTTATTACATTTCTATTAGATGTTTTTCACAATAACAACAAGAAAAACTACAATATTTTTGAGTTTTGTTTTTTCTTCAACGTAGATGTTAACATTGAACAGATGATGGAAATTTAAAAAAAAATGTCGTAGGTAACTCACAACGAAATATGAAATGAGTAAACTGTTGAACTTGTCATTGTCATGAGTTTATAAATGTTGGATAAATTTCTTTATGTTGAATGCTCGGTTGAAGCATGTACCTATGTATTGTATAGATGACCTGAAAATCTCAAATGCAAACCATTTGCAAAATTGACTGAAACATCACTTTCATATATAACCTTAAATGAAAATCAAAATAGGTACAAATTTCATACAATGTACATATTGTACAGCACTTTTTCATATTACATAAACTAATCTTATGTGAAATTATTTTGAAAATGGCTTTCATTTGAAAATTCAATCATATTCGTGATCCGAACGCTATAAAAACTGGATGAAAAAGTCACATGTGATTCACATCATGTCGAAATATCAACGAAAATGACAACGATTGACTAAAATGTTTCGTCAGTCTGGCTTTGTCTTCTTCACGTTTTCGATAGTCGAAAATGTGAAATACTAAATGAATCAGTGATTTAACATATTTCCATCGCATCCAGATTGTGTGTGTCATATCGAATTATGAGGCTTCTAATAGATTTCACGTTGTTTAATCGGATTAAAAAAAAGGTAAGAAAAACATTTGCATTTATCATTGCAAAAGGAGGCAAACAGCTTAAAAGCTTTCAAGCAACAAAGCGTGATTCCTTGAGGTTGTTTAAAACCGCCAAAACTTATGCACACACCATCCGGTGAAATGGAGCACTTAATATGATCTTACACCGAGAACAGGATAAATAAATTTAAATGAGGAAATTGCTCAATGACGATTCATTGTCTCTCCCTTACTTTCTCACTCTTGTCTCCTTCTCCTTTCTCCTTCACGCTCGCCCATGTTTACATGCTCCGACAAATTATTGCTCCATTGTTCAAAAGTATAATACACTACACAACATAAAAGACAATGAAAATGTTATAATGTCTTGAATACCGTATATCTAATGGTGAATGTGCACAATGTGATATATTCCAACCGGGTAGTTTTAGCTATTATTTTACCATAATCTTTTGATGGCATGCATACATGCATATTCTCGTAAGTCGTTGCATTAACTCTAAAGCTATGTCGGCTTAATTACTTGGCTCTTCATCTGATTTTACTTACTATTTTTTTATCCCTTTATTATTGGCCTCAATCAAGTCAATTCGAATGTTTGGTTTCAATTTTCAAAACCAGCATGTATGAATGATGAACTATAGTTATAGATAAATTACAAAATAAAATTATACTGAAACTCATTCTCAATGGTTTGATTTAATCGAATGAATGCAATTTCAATTTGGTTTTACGTATACATAGTTTTTGTGAAGTTTCTAGTTTTATTTTCAAAAGGTAAAATTGGTAAATTTGAACTTTTTTTTCTTATCAAAAATTATTTCACAACTTCACGATAGCAATTAATCTACAAAAATTGCAAATAATTAGAAAATAGGACTGTGGTACATGAATTGAAATAAAATTAATTAGAATTAAATGAGCAAATTTTTGACCCGTGGAAGCGATGGAAGTTCCTTAACAACTTTAACAAAATTGTCAACAGAACATGCATAAGAATATCCTGCAGTGATATTCGTTCGACTCCAATTAATATAATTGACTTTTTCACTTACATCCGGGCAAAGCATATACTCATTTTCAATCGATTCTATGCTCGCATATGGATCATTCAATCCGATGAAGACGATACCCGCATTTTTGGTTTCTGCAATCAAAACCTTATAGTAGAAACGTGGTACCGGAATTCGATTCGTCTTGGAACCTTCGCTGTCGTATGATAAATGGATTTCGCGATGTTTTCCATTAATATCTGGATATGTGAGTACGTCATGGGCTCCAGTATACACGTCAACATCAACATTAAGTTGTTCGATGAATTTTCTCACACCTCGCTCGATGCACAACCAATTGCCTTATAAATAATAATTTATTTTATTGGCAAAATTTACATATTTCATTCGTTTTTTTTTTCAGAGTATTGCTCAGCGCAGCTGCCATCCACAGCATATTAAAATATCTTGCTGAGAATGCGTCGTCCGTCGCATGCGAAGGTACGTAGCAGTTTATACATCACAGCGAACAAGAATGAATCCATTGTTCTCTTCACGATTATGTGACTCAAAACATTCAAACGATTGAATAGAGAACAATGCATGTATTGTTGTTCGCTGTGATGTATAAACTGCTATGTACCTTCGCATGCGACGGACGACGCATTCTCAGCAAGATATTTTAATATGCTGTGGATGGCAGCAGCGCTGAGCAAAACTCTGTTTTTTTTTAAATACATACCACCGTTGAATGTTTGCCACTGTGGTGCCACATTTATGTAATAAAATGTCGCCAATTGATGCGGTGCAAAAATGTAATCACTTTTTGCAGCCAAATGACCTCGAGCAAGAAACAAATCACCTTTTTCCGCGATAATTTCTGCGGCCAATTTTTCAGAGTCTAAAATTTGTGCAATTGTTTTTCGTTGTACAATTCTCGTGTACAACTGAAATGGATTGATTCCAGTATAGAAAGCACCTTGGATAAATAGAATGCGTTCCACGTAAAGCTGATGATAATTATTGTTTGGTTTCAATTGATGGTGTACCTAGGTGAGAATCACAAAAGAAAAGAATAGAAATAATCGAAATTAGAATCAATAAGAATTATTAAATAATAGAAAGGCCATTTTTAAAGTGAATTGCCCTTGGTGGCGTACCCATTTTGTTGAGCCGATTTTGTTGTCATGACAAATTTCCATGATAGGTAACCAAATACCTATCAAAAATGAGGTTTCAAGAAATAGCGGTTAATTAAGTTTATATTTTTTCCAATTTTCTCGTATCCATGTAATACTTTAATATATATGAGCGGATATCTCCCTTCTTCTTACCTTTAACTTCGAAACCAATTTCAACAATTTTACCGACAACACAAGTTCGGTCGGTGAATCGGGTTGTGTGATTGGGATAGTTATTGCATTTAGCATCCGCAAGATAGCCTGATTTATTTTCAATTTGAAATTGATTGCCCGAAATGCAAGTAGCTATAAGCGTATCGCCTTCGTATGGATCACGAAAACTGTCCGAACAAAAAAGCTCGATTTTTTGTTGGCTATCCAAATAAAATTCGCTGGTGCCAGTGGCTGTTGTCACATAATCAGTTGTATTATAATAGAAGTACAGCGGCTCTGGTGCAGCTAAGTCAACATTTATGTTCACCAAACATCCTATTAATAAATAAATACAATTTTATGAAAATCTCTTAACATCTCTTTTGTCTTCCTTATTTATCTATTTCGATCATAACGAAAAGTACATACCTACTGGTGTAGTACGAGCTTCAGCCGAAACAAGAATGCCACATACCAAAACTAATTTCAGAAACATGATTGATCAAAGCTTTCCACTTGAATTATAGCCTATACTTTAAACTCTTTTGAATTTTCAATGAAATAAAAAGTTACATGAACTGTTCAAGCTTGATTTGATCTTAGCTGGTAAATGGAGATGTTTATTGGCAAGTTAAAAAGAGAAATCTATTTATTGACTTGAACAGTTCGATGGTTTTATTTAAACTGAATGTTTTATTAAAATAATTATAAATCACTAGGGCCGATAGTAACTTTCGTATTAAAATTTCAATTTGAACCGATTTTTATCTTAATCTTTTGAGTTAATTTCTGATAAAGTGCCGATCGGATGATAAGCCTTAAAAAACAGAGAGACAGAAAAGACGTAAAAGATTACAAACAAATTTTCCCGTATAATTTAAACGAACGTCATTGAATCGAATTCGACTGAAAATATTTTATTTTATTTAAAAAAACTTTTATCGGTATAACTCAAATGTCGACATAATTGACACGATTTACCCATTTTGAAATATTTTTTGTGCTTACAAATCAATTTGTAGCACATTAAATATAATTCTTGTGTGAAGTTGTCACAAAGTCATGCAAAATATTAGTCTAGCCTTGATAAAACAATAAAAACATTTATTCAGCAATATATATTCACACCGTTCAAAAACAAACTTAATTAGAACACATTTTTTAACTAGATAACATTAACACCGGAGTATGAAATCGCCCCTCAGCAACTGCATTACTTTAGATGCAAAACCTTAATCATTAATAAGTAATCACAACAGTATTTATAGTAGTAATAGTACTTACTAATTTACATTGTTTGGATTGGCCGTTATAACGGTATACCGTTCCACATGTAACGATTTCATGCTCTGAATAGCATTATATTAGCAATACATACTTGTTCTTATCACAATTATTGAAACTTACTTGATAATTTTGAACGGATATTAAAACTAATTTACACCGAAAATTATCTTCTTACAAAGTAAAAAAACAAAACGTCTAGTGTAATGCAGGTGAGACATTGGAGAAATTATATACTATACTGAGGTCATAACGATAACGAACTGGTTCTCTTTAAAACAATGCATTTATGTCAAGATGACAATAAATTGTAACAAACATTGACAGGATATTTTGGAGGCATTTAAACACGGAAATGTCATGAAGTTTTTTACGACCTGTCAATCAAATCAAGTTTATTTATTTGTTGCCACTTTGCCGGAATTTTATCGGTGATTTAATGTGACCGTCGTTTTTGTGAAAGTCAATATGATGCACAGACTTGTATAATATATCATATATCATATATATATATATATATATATATGTGTGTGTGTGTGTGAAATCCATTAGAGTAATATCCGATTTGTTTTTGGAACTTTTGTCGCCAAACTCGGAACAAATTTTAGGAATTCGTCGATTGAACAAGCGTACATATAACCTTTTCGTACGTTTTCCTGCCATGGAATATAATTCACTTTGGATATCACATTTTCACAGTAAATGTAGTTTTGTTTGATTTCCTCTAAACTGGCATGCGGATTATTGACGCCAACAAAAACTATACCCGCCATATTCTCTGTGACAACAATTTTATAGTATATTTTTGGCACAGGAATTTGAGAAAACTTTGATTTCGTATTCGATGACAAATACAAATTTTGTGATTTTCCTTTTCGATCATCGAATTGTAAAATACCATGTGTTCCGGTGTAAATGTCTGCATTCAAGTTTTGTTGATCGATGTAATGTTTCAAGTTCTAAATCGAATTTTAAGCGAGTTAGTTATTCAAGTCACATTGCATGAGTATATGAATGAAAGTGAGAAAGAGAGAGAGAGAGAGAGAAAATTAATTTATTTACCTCTTCTAGTACAGCCCAATTGCCTTCATTGAAATAAATAATAATCAGTAACATTTAAATATTTCATTTAAGTTTTTAAATACTTACCACCGTTGAATGATTGCCACTGTGGTGCTGAATTTATATAATGAAATGTTGCCAATTGATGTGCATACAAGATGAAATCAGAGCGTGCGGCCAGATGACCACGTGATAAAAAGAGATCACCATTACTATTTATCAACTTATTACAAATCGTTTTTGATTGGAGAATGGATGAGCATGTTTCTAATTGATTATTTCGTGAATATAGTTCGTCCACCTTGAGACCTTGAACAAAGATATGTCATCATGAATTGTTATCGTTTGCTCGCGTTTTACTGATAATCGAATGAAGTGGAAAAAAAACTGTTTCACGTGTACCTTGATAAAAATTGCTTTGGCTGAACCGTACTCTTGTTAGTGACTTTTGATAGCCACGATTTGATGGCAGTTGTTTATAGTGCACCCAATTCGTTGCACCAATTGTTTCGTTGTGACACACTCTCATCAAATGCAACCATTTGGATTGGATTTGAAAACCAATTTCAACAATTATACCGTCCATACAACTGTCATTCGTTCGACGTATCGTATGCTCGGTTATTTTATTGCACACAAATTTTGAGAAATCAACCACAGTTTTATCGACTTTGAATTGCTTGCCGGCAACGCACGATGCAAAAATCGATTCTTTGCCATCGAAAGGCGAGCGAAAACCATGCGAGCAATAGAGTTTGATGGTTTCATTCCGAGAAAATTCAATTTTACCGTCGCTCAATTTTGGCAATCGAAACTCGTCGGTTTGTGAATTTAACAAGAGTGGTTGCGGCTCTCCCAAATTATTTTTTACATCTATGATACAAATATCTGTATAATAAATTGGATGCAAAGCAATATTTATGATTAAAATGAAATGAATCTCTCAAGATTTTTATTTAATTGCAAGAACGGGGAGAGAGGGAGAGTGAAAAAAGTGAAATAATTGGGGGAGAAAGAGTGTGTACCCGAGTTGAATGTAAGTGGATGCGCTTCCGTTTCAATTCGAATTGTCGAGACGACGGCAAACGCAATCAGATAAAATCTCAAAAGTGATTTAAACGACATTTTCCCAAAAAGTATTGTTACTCCTTTTTTTCAATTTCTTTTACTGCTGTTCTTGCTGCTGCTGGTATGGCGGCTATTCTTTTCGTTGTATATTAGGGTGAGTCGGATTCCGGGAATGTAAATTCAAATTGTTGTTTTTTTTCACGATATGGCTGAATTCGCGGATAGAATGCACTTAGACACAAACTGATATCAATTGTATCGTTATTTTGGCTATTTATACGAAACGACAAATTGTTGGAAAAGGCCAACACATCGTTATCTTCAGCAAATTGATTTTGGGGTATGGTTTCAGATAAGTTCATATCGCTCAAAATCATAAAACTTTGTACTTTATTATTATACAATTGTTCTTGCAATTCATGATACAAAAGTTATGGAATGCGAATTTCAAGCACCGCTGCGATTTTTTGAAACATGTGATGCGTGTTTTTGTCTCCGATGTTCACGTGCTCAATTTCATTTAAAATTTTCAGGCGATTTTGACGTCTAACACAATCAATTAATAACAATAATCACAGCGCACGGCAGTTCGCGCGAGTGACGAAACCACATTAGTGTGTTGAAAAGTTGAACTCGCTATATATACACGAAATATACGAAACCCAGACCTAGAAGGCCCTGGTTGATGTATGGTTGAAAAGCCCTTGGGCCATAGATCAAGAAAAAACGTTAAAGTTTGGAATCGGACCATCTGTCTTCAAAAAATGGTTCTTTCAAGAAAAGGGTCAAAATTCAGTTCTACGGCAATAGATGACACTAAATGAGGTCATTGACCCCTGAAACATCGATATTCTGATTTCAGAGCTCAACAACTCCCCAGCCATCGAAATCGATCAATCCGTTCGAAATATTTAGCGTCTTACAAATTTCATATGATTTTCCTATAAAATTCATTTGGTATGTGTGTCTGTGCGCAATTTTGCGTACTCGATTCTGATCTTTTTGAAACTTTCTGGGATTAAAGTACACAAAAAACTAAGACTTTTTTGTTCCGGCACATTTCGATATGGCCACCATGTTGGCCGTGGCCGACCTCCAAAAGTCACTTTTTGACTTTTAGGGGATGTAATGCCTCAAGCGCTCAACTTCCAAAACACTTTGGACCAGGTCGGATCCACATACTCCACAAGATTCACTTCCAGCTCTTTTCATCTAACTCTCGCGTAAAATTGCAGTTTACTCTATAATATTGTATGAGATGAAGCAAATGATTCAATACCATATGATTTCCCAACTTCTAGAACACTTTGGACCAGGTCGGATCCATCTGCTCCACATGATTCACTTCCAGCTCATGTCCTCTCACTTCATCTCATATTATATTATAGGTTATGGTATTGTTCACAGCAATGAAATCCCTACTACCGTGCTAGATGGTGTCGACACGAGTGGACGGGTTTTTAAATTTATTTGAACGACGCCATGTTACTATACTTGTCCAATACAACGTAAATGTAACAGAAAAAAACAGACAGTCCATGTCCTCGCTAGTGGACATAAACGATTTGAACCGTCAATTTGAACTAGATCAAGTATAGAACTTTACATAGGATCATATACGATGAATATGGATTACACAGTCTGTTTCAAAATACCGTCACCAATTTGACATCAAAATTTTGACAGTAAAAATATGTGTTATTGTTGTTGTCGTTTCATTGCTGTGGTCACCGGGTTGCCTGCATGTGACACACCCTGTACATATGCATGTCGTTGGAAAGGTCTTAGAGTGAGCTATCGAATGGTGCCATTTTCGGTCCAAAAATTTCAACGAGGGGTGGCCAAATTGGCCAAAAACTAAAAATTTACCGTTTGGCCGGACACATGACGTACATTAAATAAAGAGGCTTACGTACGCAAGCTGACTTTTCCGCATGGAACCAAAATTTTGGGAATAAACTGAAATTATGGTCTATGTATGGTTGCAGTAACTTAAATTACAGTGAAAACTTATGAATATTATTTTCTTATCAAAATAAATAATCACACTAAGTCTAAAAAAATGTCAATCAAAAAACTTAATATACATTTGTATATTCGGAACGTTGCATTGCGTCATCAGTCCATACTGACAGTAAAAAGAGAGGAATTCCTGCAACGTTTTGAATTTTCAAATGTATATTAAGTTTTTATTCACAGTACACAGAAAAATTATCTGTCATTTATTTTCGTCACAAAATTAATATCAGAAATTTTGTGTTTCACATTTTGGTTTCGTCACTCGCTATTCACCTCGTCAAAGGTTTTTTATTTGATAGTACATCTGAAGCAATAGTAATAGCAGAAGGAGAAAAAAAACATTAAGAATAGGTATGAACGACTGCTATTTTGTTCACATTGGGAGCTGTCTCATTCTCCTTCTTTTTCCTTAAGTTTAATCACTTTCGAGCCATTTACGCTCAAATGGATTCCAGAAATTGAATCAGCTACATCAATGCCGATATGGCATTACCACATTTAACCCACAAATTCCCGACAACTAAATGATAAGACATTTTCGAAGAGAATAAATTGAAAACGGCAATGTAAACTTCATTTGAAACCATTAATTGAATCGATAGCTCATTTATTGCCTACACTAAATGTCGATGGTTGTGCTTTACATCCATTAATTATTTTGCCCCTCACAAGAAAACAACGCACAAATGATTAATTTATATCTTCGCGTATACATTGCTTATCACTTCGGCTTCATCTGTCGTTGTTATTTGTTGTTGATGTGATTCAGGCCATACCCATCGCCCACTTTTTTTCATGTTCTCTTTCTGTTTACTCTCTCTCTCTTTTTTTCTTTTACAATCTTGCTTTTTAGCTGCATTGCCTTTCGATGGCATCATGTATTTTTTCTCACGTAAAACGTGGTCTGTACACTAGAGCGTGATTGAAGAACATGTGTCGATTATCATTCATCATTAATTATTCGAAAAGAGAAGAAAAGCTGTGAGTTGTACACTTGCATGTTTTCATTTTCCAGCTCACATTGAATCGCATTTCTTCACTGTCTTTAATGAGTTTTAATGGGACTGTAGCATTTGCATTGCGAAAATTTAAGTCGACGACAAGAAAGCTTTCAACGGTACGGTTACAAATGAAAAATAGACAATCATTTTTATTGCGTTTATCCTAAAGGGAACGAAATCTATGTCTAACATTCTTTTCATTTCAATCCCCCCGCGCCCATTCTTTTTCCAGGTTTTTTTTATGCTCTCTCCTCTCCACGTTGTGTTCAAGTGAATTCGTTAAATTAATTTGAGCAAAAAAATGGTTTGGTTTGTCTTACGGAAACAAATAATCTGATATGCCAATAAAACTTTACAGAAATTGATTGATTGGCTGCTTATTCCATCGATTTCAATATGCAATCGTATATAATTTATCAACGAAATCAGTACTAAACAAAACCGAAATATATGTTGGTGTTTGTCAGTTTTTGTGGTTATATGCGACTACGAATAAATGCCATTCGACATACTTATAGCTAGAGCAACGAATCGATAGGACGTGGAATTGGAAAATAAATTAGCAAACTACAAAGAAAATTATATGATTCGAATTAATTCGAAAATGATTCAACATATAATCAAAATGCTACCTGACTGGTAGTACAAATTTTTCTTTTTTAATACATCATCATCATCATTATTACCATTAAAATCACCAGTATACCGTTCTTCATATGAAGGAAGCACAGTTCCTCTGCTTCGATGTTTCCCATCGCATCATTGGAAAACTAGATACATGAACAAATATATTTGTAGGTTTAAAAAAATGAAATAAAACACATTTTTCCACATACTTGTTAAGACCCTCTTCTGACAAAAGTAATATTTTCATATACTATATAGAGAGTTTCAATTGGAAATATTCAAATAATGGACGTCATTTTTTCCAATGAAAAATATTGGAAATTTGAATTGAATTTGAAAAAGTCTTTCAAGAGTTGGCTTCAATTCAATATTTTATTTGAAAGTTGAAAGCTAGCCGGTTAGCTGTACTTGTTGAACATCAAATCTATTGTGATGCAAGTGTACGTGCAAAATAGCATGTAATTCTATACAATGTGCTCACTATGTGGGACGTTCTGATCAATTTTTCATTAGGGCTCTTTTACTAGACGACGAAGTGAAACTTTTGACATAGTTGTGTCGTGAATATTGTGAACGTATATGCTTATTTTATTTAGGTTTTTTTCTGTTCCACTTCACAGAGAGAGCTTCAATCGAAGTGTGGTGGAAAATGGGGTGAATTTCAAATGTTCTTGGGTGATTTGGCCCGGCATGAAAATAATTTGCCTCATATATTCGCAATAATTTAAAATTGTGCCTGTGAAGCGTCGCATTTAAGACTATAAATTCCTCTGGAGACACACAGAAAAAAAAACCACGATAAAAAGAAGAGAAAGAGCAAAAACAATCGAAACAAAATCTTGAGTTTCTCTTCCGCTTATTCGGTGTGTATCTGTATATACATATATGAATTCAAAAAGTTTGTCAATTGCATACGAAACAAAGTTTTAAAATTGTTTCAAAAGGAATTGTGCAAATACCGACGAATCGAAGACATTTTTCTTACTTTGGAAACCTTGAGGTCAACACCGAATACATGTCTGCCACGTCTTTCTACTTTTTTTATTTTGTTATTTTTCTTTTTTATTTGTTGTTTGTGCAATCGTCTTTAAAGGAAAGTTTCGGGACCCTTGTCCAAATTTTTGGTTAAAATCACTTTACCGCATTTTTTTGCTTTTCGTTTTTCTGCGCTGTCGGCGCTTGGTATTTGTTTTATGTTTTAACATTGCCTTTCATGAAAAAAAAATGTCGGGATTAAGGATTAAAAACAAGCTCGAGTACTCACACGGTCAGTTTCACTCATTCGGTATGGCAGAGGCCGATGAAAATGTTATTTAAGCAGCCGGATGTGAATAGAAGAATATTCTAAGAAGCAAGTGAATGATTGAAATGGGCAGACCGTAACGGCTGATGTGAAATGATTAGTTGTTACAGATACCGAAACCAAAAGTTGAGTTTTTTATTTGTCATATACAGCCTGTACAGGTTGGCATCATTCTCGTCCAAAAACCACTATCCATATAAGCGTACATGTGGTAGAATGCTTCAAAAGCTTCTCGCGTTTATAAATATATATGTTATGCATGAAATAGATTATATAA